AATTTTTTCTCTATAATTGAATGCATTTATGTCTAGTTATATGCAAGATGATTGGATTGATGTATTGAATTTATTTATTTATTTATTTATTTCTGTCTAATTTATTTCATTACTGGTAATAAATTTATTTGATGAGGTTGCGTATGATTAAATTTCATAAACTTCTCCACCCTTACAGTTAATTAGGAACGTTTCTATTATTATTTTCTTGCTAAATTTAGAATATATGTTTTGCAATCAGTTAGGAATGAGTGGGGAGATTGGAATTTAAATGTGAAAAAATTAGTGATTTTTTTTTTACTTGTTAGTATAATTAATCTATATATAACATATATTATGCTAGTTTATTTTTATACGTATAAATTATAAATTAATGTAAGATTTCCATACAGAAAAATTACTAAATTGTTGTAAATTCGACAATTCTACTTGAATTTTATCAAATTTCTTAATCGAAGTTTAATGATTTTCTGCCAAAATGTTAACTAAATTTAATTTAATTTTTATTCTAAATCTTAATTTTTGTTGCTTTAATGAATTTTTTACTTGAATTCAATAGTTTAAGCGCAAAAATTAAGTATATTTCTGAACAGAATTTAGTGTAGTCACCATTATTGTTAATCTGCATAGATTAAATCTCGTGTCATAATTATAGTAAATATTTACAAATAATTTTTATCGGTTCTTTTTTTATAAGTTTTTAATGGGTTTTGAACTTTTTTAAAATCAAATTATTAATGATGCAAAGTTAAATAAATTTATGTCAGAGTTTATTAAGTTTTAAAAGCTTACAAAAGGCTATACACTTAGATACATGAATCTACATTTAGAAGACTATAAATGTCTTACAAATGCTTCGTAAGACATTTAGACCAAAATCTAATGAATTATTTGCTAAATTTATCACAAATTTAGTAATTTTAATGCCAAATTTACTAAATTTCGTACTATAATGCTGAAGATTTTTTTACATCAAAACCAATTAGATACCGAAGTGTTATCCTTACGAAATTTATAGCAATCAAAATAAGCATATTTTACGAATAAATTTATATTTAAAAAAACAGAATATTAATTAAAGTTTCATTAAATTGCTGTATCTGTTTAATTCTAGTTGACACCTTCCGGGGCCTCCTTTTTTTTCGGTTGCAAGTCACACTCAATTAGAGTAATCGTCTGATTGATCACGTGTCTGTCATTCTGTGTGGCCCATCCCTATCCAGATTGAATCTCGTTTCTCGTTTTTCTGCTATGTAATTGCTGTACTTCCTCGAAGCAGTGAACCATTCGTTTGAATAAAAAAGCCCGAAAATTCCTAATTAAATTCTCTTACGTTGCAAATGGCATTGATGACGTAGAAAGAGATATTTATGGACCGATAACGTCGATACGCGCTGACGACTTTATACAGTTCTTATTATTTTTTTTCACTCGTTCTCCTTAATCTTTTATACGAAAATCAGTAGTGACTACGTACTTCGTACGAAAACTTGTATTCAAAATGGTTAGATGTGTCTTTATACTCTCGACAACATATTTGGCATCGTCTATAAATAATATTCTCATTAATAATATAATAGACTGGCATTGCGAATTCGTCTTTAGTAAAGAATCATTAATAATCACATCAAGATCAAAACTTGTTTGAAGAAAGAAGATAAATTTATTAAGAAGAACGGCTGAGTTATCGTCTCTTCTTTCTTTGATTTCGTGTCTGTTTTATAATTACTTTCTTGTCAAACTGTCAGTTATACTAGTAATGAAATAAATGCTCCAAATGACAAGTGTCCATTTCGTATTGATATGGTGAATGCAACTCCTGGTTAATCTTGTTGAATGTAATGTCATAAATTCTTTTCGCTTTCTATTCATATTTTTCTATATTTACACTGTTAACTTTTCTTATTTATCATGACATTTTAGTAAAATTTCAACATTCCGAGATAGGAACCACAAGAAACACCTAGTTGGACTTCAAAAAATCCAATATGTTTTTGGTAGTAATGGTTTTATTTGTTTCAGATATTTATTAAAACTTACGAATTTAATTATTTAAATGTTTTATTTATCAATAAAGGTAAATTTATGGCACCAAAAAAATATTCTAAAATGCATTATTAGCTACAAATTTCTTTCGTTATTTGGCAGCTTCCTTTAACAAGTTGCATGATTCTAGAGTAATTAATTTCAAAATAATAAGCGAATTTAAATTTGAAATGATCATACAAAAAAAAAAAGAAAACGTTTTTATTCTGTAATTTTTCTACTTGAAAACAAAATGGCGGATATCGAAATGAACATAAAGTACTGCAATGAAGAATACAATTACAGCGTTCAGAAATAATTAGAAAGCTGTAAGGAAATTATATTTTATACATTAATGTATGAGAAATTTATGCGTTATTACCAAAATTTAAAATGTTTCTTGCTTACTGTACTGTAAACATTGCATGAAAATTAACGTGGCGCGTAATAGTAAGAAAATATTTATTTTGTAATGATACCGTCGAAATTTTACACATGTTTAATTAGTGGGGTGTTTCAGTTTATCTTTCATTTATATAAAAAAAAATATTCTAGAAATAAGTATGATTAAATTTCATAAACTTC